TTACTTCGACTATTGGAGACCCTGTGGATGAGATTCTTCCAAATCTCTTGTCCTCCACTGCTGTGCTCAAGTCCTGCAGGGTCAGGCCTGTGGCCTCTTTCAGTCCATCCATCTGGCATGTGGTCTCACTCTGTTTCTGCTGCCTTCTACCTTACCAATTTAATTATCCTGGATTTCAGGGGGAGTTCGGGCTTGATCTGTCCTAGGACCCATTATTTCTCTTTCTGACCATCCATGGTATTCTCCAGCATCACATCTCAAATGAGTTGATTTTCTTCCTATCCTCTTTCTTCATTGTCCAGCTCTCACATCTGTACATAGTGATGGGGAATATGATGGCTTGGACAATCCTCACTTTAGTGTTCAAAGGTATATCTTAGTTCTTTAGGATTGTATCCACTTCTTTCACAGCTGCCCTTCCCATTCCTAGCCTTCTTCTAATTCCTAGCCTTCTTCTAATTTCTTGACTGCAGTCTCCATTCTGATTAATCTTCGATCCAAGGTATGGGAACTATTTTACTATTTCAATTATCTTGTTATCCAGGATGAATTCTTGCAGGTCTTCCATGGTCATTATTCCTGTTTTCTTCATAATCACCATTAAGTCTACCTTGGCACTTTCTTCCTTGACCCTCTTCAGTAATTGCTCCAAGTCTTTGTTGATTTCTGATAGTAGATTAGATTACAGACACAGCTTAGTCACCCCTTTATAGAATTTTTAATAATGCCATGCTCAGGATCATTAAAATAATGAAAGTTATTCCCAAATCATCATCAGACATTTTACTGATGATCCAGAATTGTAACCCCGGTTGGTCGGAGCTAGTTACAACATGACACAAGGTGCAAAGGTTATTCTACACACTATCTGACAGTAAGCACATGTGCACACTTCACACAGAGCCACAGTTTTCCTGATGAGCAGGTGTTCATTCACATACAGTGGGCCCTTGGTATTGGCAGGTTTCCGAATTGGGATTTGAATGTCCACAGATCACCACACCCCATATTATCCAATGGCAGCATGTGTGTACTGGTGTGATCACATAGGTGTGTGTACATTGCCATCTGTCAGATAATTTGATGCTTGAGCTTCTGCATTTTTCTCATCCACAGGGGCTCCCAGAACCAAACACTTTAGATCAGGGGTAGGCAACCTTTTTGAGCCAGGGGCCAGGTTGCTGTCCCTCAGACAATTGGGGGGCCGAAGCACCAAAAATAAATAAATAAAACAAATAAAAAAATTAAAATTAAAAATTAATTTTTTAAAAAAAAAATATGCATGCACACTCTCTCAGCCCCAGAAAAGCCATGGCAAAACCCCTGTGGAGATTTTGCCAAGAAAACCCCAAGAACAAGTAATAACAACAATAATATCATCATTGCGGCGGTGGCAGGACTGGCTTGGGGCCGGTCCAAAGGCCTCGGGGGCCGCATCCGGCCCCCGGGCCTTAGGTTGCCTACCCCAGCTTTAGATTAACATTTATATTTAATGGTACTTCCAAAATTAAAAAGCATGTTCAACAAACATGCTTACAAATAAGAATAAAATATATTTACACTTCACAGAGCTAATTTGATTAAAACCATTATTTAAGTCATTTCTGTAAAGGAGTTAGTTTTAATAATTTAAATCACAGTTTAAATTACTTGTTGCTGTGTGCCTCCAAGTCATTTCTGACTTAGGGAGTCCCTAAGGTGAACCTATCACAGTATTTTCTTTGCGCAATTTATTTGAGGGAGTTTCCCTCTACTTCCCTCTGAAGCTAAGAGTTTGTGATTTGCCCAAGGTCTTTCAGTGGGTTTCACTGACCAAATGGGGATTCAAACCCTGGTCTCCAGAACTGCAGTCCAATGCTCATCATGATGGCTCTTTAAAGTCAGGTAGATTGCACTTAAATCATTTTTAGGACAAGTATGGTCCAAAACACACCTTGTGGTTTATGAGTGAGTGGCTCCAGTACAGGCATTTAACCACTGCACCACCAAGGCTCTGGATCTCCCTGAAGCCTTGGAAGGAAGGACGAAGACATGAACGTGCGCTTCCTGCCCTTCCAACACCTCAGAGAGCTTGCTAGAGCTGTTTGAGGCTGTGGAAGAGAGAGACGGGTGCACACCCATGCACTGGTGTGTCCCCCCCAACTTTATTCACGAATTTTGGGATTCACAGGGGTCTTGTGCCCCTAATCCCTGCGAATCTTGAGGGAAGACTATACAGTTCTTCCTTATATCGTTTCCATCAGCTTTTTATTTCTACTTGGTCATGTAATATGTTCTTCTGATGGCTGCAGAACATCCCTACTCTTCATTTAAATTTCCCTTTGATTTCTAGATCTTGTAGAAGAGTTCTCTTGTTCTTCCTTTTTTGTTGTCATCTTCTATTTCTCTGCATTGGATACTGTAGTAGTTCTCCTTGTTCCTTGTCACAAGACATTGAACAGTTTCCTGTTTACTACAGATAACTGTCCTCTCTCCTTTTTACTACCGATAGTGCCTTCCTGTCAATGTCCCTGGCTTCAGTCCAGAGTTCTTCTGGCTCCTAGTCAATTAGGTTGAATAGTGCAAATACATATTTTATATTATATTTAAATTCTACAGGAATGTATTTCAGGTTGTATTTTGGGACAATGCTTGGACTGTTCTTCTTTAGCTTTACTCTACATTTTGATATCAGCAGTTCACAGTCTGTTCCACAGTCTGCTCTTTTGTTTTTGCAGAGAGAAGAGAGCTTCTCCATTTTCTGTTCCAATTATGTAACCTATTTGATTTCTATATTGGCCATCAGGTATTGTCCATGTATACAGTTGCTTCTTTGGTTGCTTGAAGAACGTGCTTGCAATAAACGAATTACTGGCTTCACAAAATTCAATTAGTGACTCTCCTGCTTCATTTCTTGAATGAAGGCCAAATTTTCCTAAAATATTTGATTCTGCTCTGTTTCCTGCTTCTACATTCCAATCAGCTATGATTAAGAAGTCCTGTTTTGATATGTGATCAATTTCCTCCTGGACTCAAGAATAAAAATCTTCCATTTCTTCTTCTTCTGACTCTGTAGTTGAAGGATAAACTTGGTTTATGGTTGTTCTGATGCATTTTCCCTGAAGCCTTATTGGTATTATTCAGTGAGACTCTGCATTATAGCATTCGACTGCTTTTGCTACATCTCTCCGCACTATTTACCCCACCCCATTTCTTATTGCATTTTCATTTCCTATGTTTTGTGGTACACTTATACACTTTGGTACTTTTATATAATTTTATATATCCCTCAAAATGGATGTGTGAAATAAGTTCTATTAAGTATTCATTGAGTACTAGATTGAATTAAATGTGTACAGGATAATGATGTGAAGACCTGGGGGGGGGGAGAAAAAAAAAGAAAAAATAAGGAATGTTTTATTTTAGCATGATTCTGTGGGAAAATGGGAAAAACAGGGTTTTTTCAGATTTTTCTGGGTTTTTTTCAGGCCTTCAAATCTCTAGTACAGGATAACAGATCTATGACACAAGATTTATACAGTGTACATTCTCAATGATTTTAAAGTTTTTTTTCTCTCACATAATATTCCTACCTTTTCCGCAAACACATTTGGGGGAAATGTCAAACTGTGTGAGTGTACCCAAGTGTATAAGTGTATTCCAAAACACAGGAAATGAAAATCTAATAAGAAATGGGACAGGATAAATAGTGAGGAGTCAAATCATCTGGAGGGAGAGAAGGCAGGGCAACTTCATTGGGCTTAGCCTTAAAAATATTGTATTTAGTCTTGGGGGGGGAGGTATTGTATTACTGTTATTGTTGTAATGTATGTTTTAATTTGTATCTTATATTTGTAAGCCGCCTTGATTGCTCAGGCAAAAGGCGGGATATGAGAAATAAATTTATTATTATTATGCAAAGCCTGACTGAATAATATCAATATTTGTATTTGTAATTTATTTGTATCTCCCCTTTATCTGTATGAGACTCAAAGCAGCTTACAATATAAATTAAAACAATTTTATTTATTTATTTATTTGTATCCCGTTTTCCCCCCAAAGTTGGGACTCAAAGACGCTTAAATTTTAAAAGCAAGGTACAATTAAAACTTGCAAAAGTGACAATTAAAATAGACTAATCTCAAATAACTAAAATAACATAAACAACCGAACAGAAGGACTGTATACTGGAGCACAAACACTGTCCTCTCTGCTTTTTTATTTTGCCCATTCATCTCAGGGACTGGTTCCTTCATGGACCTTAGGGCTCACATCGTGTGCCTCAAAGGGTCTCCCATCCGGGCAATGACCAGACCCATCAAACGTCACAGAACAAGGCTGCTGTCACACTGCAGAATTAATGCAGTTTGACACCACTTTAACTGCCATGGCCCCGTCCTATGGAATCCTGGGATTTGTAGTTTGTTTGTTTGTTTGTTTATTATGCTGCCTTTCTCCCAAAAGGGACCACCTTAAAAACCTTACAAACATTTTTTTTAAAAAAACAATTTAAAACACAGTTGAAACAGTATAACATTAAGATTAAAAACATACAAAAGTTAAAACACACAATCTAATACAGCTCCCTCATATAAAAGCCACCTTGCCATGATTTTAAAAAGCCCGCCTGAATAAAAATGTTTTTACATTACAGTTCGAGGTGGCACTAGACTAGAGCTAGAGCTCTCTGGCAGAGAAGGCTAAACAGCTCACTACACTACAAATCCCAGGATCCCACAGCTGGAACTATGTCAGTTAAAGCGATGTCAAACTGCATTAATTCTGCAGTGTAGATGCAACCACAATATAGTTAATAACTGCCCCCTCCATGTTCTCTATATCGAATTTCAATTTTCCTTTTTTCTTCCACTCTGTCCTCAGTGCACCCCTTCTCCTCTGCTCTATTCCCCTTAATTCGTCTTCCTATTAGAGCCCGTTATAATACTTTATATTTTTAATCGTAAACCATTTAGGAAGCCAACCTGGAGTAGTGGTTTGAGTCCTGGATTAGGACTCTGGAGAGCAGGGTTCGAATCCTGGCTTGGCCATGTAAATTCGTTGGCTGACCTTGGGTGAGTCACACTCTCTCAGCCTCAGAGGATGGCAATGGCAATCTCCTCTGAAGAAATCTTACCAAGAAAACCCCGTGATAGGTTCGCCTTAGAGTCGGAAATGACTTGAAAGCACACCATAACAACAAACCATCTAGAAAATGTTCTCAAGGCGGCACAACAAATGAAATAAATCTCACCCATCCCTCACTTCATCCTATGACGACCATTTTCCAACAGGCCTTGCCCGTTCGAGGGCTATGGCTTCGCGCGTCCTGACGTCACAGTCGCGCGCCTCAGGAGAGGGGAGGAGTGGTGAAAGGCGTAGGTGGAAAGAAAGAGTCGCGGGACGTCAATTCCTGTCATGTTTCCGTCTCGCGTCGCGGTTCACTGCGCAGGCGCAGCTCCAGAAACCCTTAACGAGTCGAAGGTGCTGAATGGCTGCGGTTGGATACTGTCGCCCAACCACGCATGCGCAGTATTGGTTTAATGGGACTGGAGGAAAGAGAAACAGCAGCTGAGGGGGCATCTATGCTGTAGAAATAATGCTTTTTGACACCAGTTTAAGTGCTGCAGATCCACCCTATGGAATCCTAGGATTTGTAGTTTTACAAGGTCTTTAGCCTTCTCTGTCAAAGAGTGCTACAAATCCCAGGATTCTCTAGGATGGAGCCATGGCAGTTAAAGTGGACTCAAGCTACATTAGTTCTACAGTGTAGAGAGGCACCTTGAGTTGGCAGCAATGAGAGAAACAGGGACTTTGGGGCACTGGCTGTTGGTGTCTTGTGGAAAGGGAAATCTAAAGGGGATTGTTTACAGACACTAGTACTAACTGGCCCCATAAAGAGCTGAAAAACATGCTCCAGCTTGTCAACATCCTTTTTGAATTGTGGTGCCCAGAACTTGACACAGTATCCCAGGCGGATGGACTCAGTCAAGGAAGCCATGACTTTTGCAAGACCTGAGCAAGGCTGTCCATAACAGGGTGTCTTGGAGGTTTCTCATTCATAGAGTCACAGCAAGTCGGTATGGACCTGATAGCAATTAACAACAATAACCAAGGGCCTTTGCAGACTGCCAGAAATAGTGCACATTAAATTGAGGCAGTGCCCTGGCTCAGTGCTAGGGAGTCATGGGAACTGTAGTTTATTGTGGCACCAGAGCTCTCTGACAGAGAAGGCTCAATGTCTCAGAAAAAAATACAATTCCCATGACTCCCTAGCACTGAGCCAGGGCAGTGCCTCAATTTAATGTGCACTATTTCTGGCAGTCTGCAAAGGCCCCAAATCACTGAGGAGAGACTTATTTTTTTTTAAAGTAGCAGCTGGCAGGAATAAAGGCAAAGGAGCAGTTGCAAAGAGGTCCCAGAAGCTGAAAGTAGAAATCTGAGGCCCTCCCTAATTGCAAGCAATCAGTAGTGAAAGACATTAATATTTTCTTCCAATCAAACCTGAACCGATTAACAGACCAAAGTAAAGCCATACTACAGAGTCCTCCTGACCGGTGGGAAACAACCTTGAACAGAGAAACTGACAGAATTGCAGCTGCAGGACTGCGGGAGACTGCAGTTCCCAGTATAAAATGTATTATATCTGCAGC